GAACTTGGCAGGTGCCAGTGAAGGGTTGCTCATCGCTGGATTTGCTGCTTTTCTACCGAAACTGATTGAAAATCAATTCAGCGTCAGTGCCAGTTCGGCCGCGTTGCTGATGGGTGAATAATGTCACAATTCAATTAATCTATCATAATATAGCATGAATTTCGATAAGCACTGTTGTATAAAATCATTTTCACAAAGCTTTGGAAATGATTCGATATGAAGGAAAGTAATGCAAACTACACAAAGAATCGCAAAGAAAATTTTAACAGATATTAATTGATGACATTATTAATTAATTCTCGCTATGGTTTATATTACAAAATAATATTTTCCTATTTTTAGGATTGGTGACTGTACCAGCCGGAGGCGGCGGTACATTTCTCGGTGGTTACCTGATAAAACGCTTCAATTTGCCCTGCTCTGGCATTTTAAAATTTTGTTTACTAGCTACAGCCGCCTGCATCGCTTTCACGCTGTGTTTCGCTTTAAATTGCCCGAACTTGGATTTCGCTGGATTGACTGTGCCCTATCAAAACATCACGAGGTTTGTACTATCGATGGATTTTAAATGGCAACGAAGTAATATAAATCATTAGTGCAGCTCATTCGATTACGTTTACTTATTTTATTATTAAAAATGAGACTTTTTTGTTATAGAAGGATCGCGTTGTCTCTTGAAAATACCTGCAACAATGGCTGCGGATGTTCTAGATCGCAATTTAACCCTATATGCGGCGTGGATGGAGTCACGTACTATTCGCCCTGTCACGCCGGATGTTATCGGGAAACACCAATAAACAATGTCAAAGTATATTCCCCGGTGTATTTCTAAAATAGCGTTTTGTTTTTAGACAGCAAATAAATGTCACGCGCGACTGTCTTTCTAGATATACTCGGATTGCAGCTGCATACACGCACCAGCGATGAATTTGACGAGCGAAGATACCGGTGACGTCGTCCAGTACCAGGCTGTCAATACCACCTGCGAAAGTTCATGCACGTACCTGTGGCTGTTCATCGTCCTGGCATTTTGTAATATGTTCATGACGTTCCTATGCACAATGCCAGCGCTCTCGTCCACCCTGAGAGTCGTGCGCGACGATCAACGATCATTCGCTTTAGGCATACAGTGGATCAAAGTTCGGATTTTAGGAACTATACCGGCACCAATGGTATTCGGCGCTCTTATAGACGATACCTGTATCTTGTGGAACGAAACGTGCGACGGCAGAGGGGCGTGCCTCGTATACGATAACTACTACATGAGCAGGTTGGCAATTTACACAGTGGTACCTTAACATGATTCGCAGATTAGTTCTCACAAGTTTCAAATGAGTTTGTTACAAACATGTTTTTCACAGGTATATGCTAGCGCTGGCATTCATTGGAAAAGCGGCTTCGCTTCTTTTCTTCTTTTTGGCATGGTGGACGTACGTTCCACCCAGTACGAGAGGCATCGATCAGAATTCTCGGCAGCAAACGACAGCTACTTTAATGCTAAGTGACACGTCTCAAGAAGTTGAAATAGTACCGGCTACGATAGCGTAATCTTGGATTATTTTATTTTTCTTATTTAGAAAGTTATTCTTTTAGAACGGTTATTTTATAGAAATAGTAGAAATATACCGCGGATTATACACGGTTAGATAAATGTCCCAGCATTTCTCTTTTTCGGTGAGATTCACTCTGTGAAACAGGACAATTCACGTTAAATGAGAATATCGACGCAAACACATAAACAGATATCAAGATAGGATAAATCGTATATGTCAATATAACAATGTGAACAAAAGTTGTCATGAAACTCCTTTTTGCACGTTAGGAAGATAAGTTTTTGATAGCCCTACAACCGAATGTAGTTTGAAAAGCTATACATTCGGATATCAATCAGGGAATGTAAAAAACATATCCAGATAGTTGTGCCAAAGAGCCTATAATATGCAAAGCATATTCTACATTTTCTTTATATAATGGACTTATAATGACATTATAAGTTTTGGGCCTGATTGCACCAACGTTACTTTGATTTTAAGCGAAGCTTAAAAATATCTCTTTCTTTTTTCAAAGCATAGAGAGACAGAAAAAATAGAGTTCAAGACTCGCTTAAAATTAAAGTAAAGGTGGTGCAATCGGGCCTTAATTAAATCTATAAACACGGGCCAAATATCCCATTTGCGCAACTCGATCCAATTTCCCCTAATATAAACTTTTATAATCCTACATTCGCTGACTGTCAATTAAAGATTAATTAATTGTATTCCCTGTAATGATAAATATCGATAGTTCTTTATACCCAAAATGTGACTTACATAAATTTTGAAGATGGTTTTGCCATATATCAGCCTTGGTGGTTGTCGTATACTATATTATCGATTTGATATTACACTTTCTGCGCCGTTTTTCGCTATAATTATTTTTATTAAACGGAAAACGCCAGTATGCCTAGAGCACGTATTTATACATGTCATCAATAAAAAGCTGAGATATATTACAAATCTTTGTCTCTCTCAATATAAGATTTTCCATTTTTTCTTTCTGTAGAATATATTTTTATAAGCAAATCTTGTAAATTTGTCCTAAAATATCATTGACGTACTTATATTAAAACTGCATATTTTAGAAATTATTAATTCTTCTGCACTCTATTAGAAATAAAATAAATAGATATTAACAATTGATAAATCAGGAAACGATTTTAACAGATGTCGCTCAATACTTTTACGCAGTTAATGATTGTTGATAAAGTCGTTAACTATATCTGGAGCTCTTTAGAAAACTTTTAATCGTAGTATGTTATTTTAATAAAATAAAAAATGTATTGTCAAAATAGGAATGTATCTTTTATAAATTCACAAATGCACATTAAGAAAGTAAAGAAAAACACTTTCTTGAAAAAATTAGTTTTTATATATCTAAGTAAATATTGTTGAAATAGTAAAAGACATAATATTTAAAATATGTTTTCAAGTATTTATTATTTCAACAATATTCACGTTGGCAAATAATAAGAATGTAATAATTCATTGTGTTATACTGTCCTTGTTAGAAAACGGCTATTAATATATATATTTATGTATTTATGGAGTTTTTATACATATACATTTATAATATTTTATATGAGTTCACTATTTTTTTAATGTTTGATATTTTTAATATTTTTACATATTTACTATATATTAAAAAATGTATCTAAATACATTTTGTGATAGATTCTATGTTTTTTAGAAGCAGAAGTTAGTGTAAAAAATTCGCAATGCTCCTTGAGCAACATTTGTCCTTATTTAATATTTGATAAACAATAAAAATGAAATGACTCCAAGAGCGTTACGAGCGGCAAGTGGAACGCAGCCTAAGTGTGCCAGGAAAAGGTAAAGAGAGGGAAGTAGAAGATGGAAGAAGAGAGAGAGAGAGAAAGAGAGAACAGCTTCAGACTCATCCTCGAGTTACTTTCACTTGAACTTCTCGTAACGCCGTGTAGTGATCTTCTAGAATCTAGACGGTGGAGCGGAGCTCCTGCTGCTTTCCGCGTAATTCGAACTCGCGTAATTGTCTAGTGATCTTAGATTATTTAAAAAAATGGCGTTTTACTGGATTTTACAATCGCATCTTCTACAATGCATGTTATTTGTTGTTATTACTCAGGCCGAAGAAGTTTTTGTAAGTAATAAGATTTTAAACGTGTTGTTGTGTTAATGCTAATTATGTTACATCGGATTAGCTGTGCATATTGATGCCGTAAAAAATGAGGAATTGCTTATACTTGCATAAATTTACAAATAAGTTAAATCATCTCGCTTTTAAATACGAATGAACGTCTTTAAGCTGTATGATTCAATCACGATTGTTCACCCACGCAGAATACCACTCCGCCAACCGTCAAAACCAGCTTCTCCTGTTACAACCGACCTATGGGATTTTATGCTGACATCGAAGCGAAATGCAAAATATATCACACGTGCGATGATCATGGGAACAAATTCACTTACCGATGTCCCGAAGGAACGGCTTTTCGTCAAGATGCCTCGATATGCGATCACGTTTATCTCGTCGACTGCCAAGCGACTATTTACCCGTCGGCTCAACTTCCAAACGAGAATATAGACAAGGAAATTGCGTACGTAACTTCTTCGACGAGGTCCCCAGTGGAATCGAACAACTCCCCAGTGGAATCGAGCAACTCCCTCGATGATCATCGATTGGCATTTTCGCGTTCTTTCCATGTAATTCAACGGCCCGACAAATCCATGCCGAATAAGTTCCAAACCGGCTTTGTCTTCAGCGCGAATCTATTCTTAAAGAATCAAGATCGAACGCGGAATCAAGCTCGGCAAATCACCGACAATTGCACGACATGCAACGCTGATTTGAGCAACCACATGACAGTTTCCACTGTACGGACACTCACCAAAGAATTCGATTCTTGGAATCTACGTAACGACAAACCAACGGTACCAAGACAGTCGTTATCTTTGCCATTGTCAGAGACTCACGACAAAAGCAACGTGTATCCTAATCATTCATACGAGCCGCTCTCGAATTCTTCGCCCGCGAAAGTGATGACATCGGAAGATAACCGGCATTCATCTCCTCTGCGTGAGAAGTCTTTCTCCAGTTACAACAGAGATATCCATCCGTACTCCGAGACGTTACGATCGATTCAAGCTAACGCTTACGTAAAATCTACTACAGAAATTCCTGTGCACGCTTTGACGCTATCTTTAGAGCCGTTAGTACCTAACGAGCTGGAATATGATCCTTATTATCCCAGACAACCGACGTCTACCGAGGCATATTACACACCCAGCATTCGCAACAGGATTAATACGAATACTCGATTTTCCAGCTCCAACCAAGCACCGCTAATAGCCGCGCACCCTAATCTTCCTTTTCAGATTCCATCTGTGCTACCTGATTTGAATACCTTGGAAGATTTGGTCGATCGCCGGAAGTTTTTCTATATCCCGCGCACAAATGTGAAATCGATATGACGCGCCATTAACTGTTTAACCGTCAGACTCGCAACGTTATGTGAAAGAATTTTTAACTATTTTGCAAAATGAGTTATGCATAGAATGTTCATTATTTATATTGACTCGTATTATTTGTGATTTAGCTAAAAATATTTTAATAAACGTCGAATACCATGGAACTCGCTGTCTTCAAAGGAGCCTGCGCTCCTGAAGCAGATGATATATGAGTCGTTGCTATGCTGAAAAAATATAGTAGCGTTGATTTTTTTTTTCATATTTATGTATAAGAAACACTTAATAGTGCGATTATATTCATTGACATCGTATCTAAAATACTTTTCTCTCGGGTTCCAATGTTCTTTAAACGGTGCTAATAGTTTCGCAGCGATCTGCTGAATGTTTATTGAACCTTGAAACATCCCGGTTAATGTGGCTATTATTCCGTGTTGATTGTGATATTTTGCTTGTAAGTGCTTAATCGTTGTCGCAAATTCTGAAACTATACATAATGCACTTTCTAAAATATGTTAAATTAAAAATACAAAAAATCAATTATACAGCTTGAATGTAAGTCCTCACCAGAATATGTTTCTCTAATCGGTAGCAATTGCTGTAAATTCCTTATGTCTTCTGATAAACAGCGACATTTTTCTGCAAGGCGTCGAATATACTCGTTTTCTTGTTTGAAAAACTGAATATTTTTATGCAGCTCCTCAATTTGCACTTGTAATCGCAATTGCACAACTTCCTCTATCCAACGTTTGACATTCACATCTTTTTCCAACTTTTGCATCTTCGTTTTCTTGACCTTTACTGTGTCACCATGTACTTTTATTTCTCTTGAATCTAAATGCAGACCTAACTCTTCAAGTTTACTGAAAAATATACGAAATATATATTATTTTATAATCGCGAGCATTTGTTTTAGAAGAGATGTTTTGAAATAAAAACACTAATGTGTAATATGATATTTAATTTTTATGCTAAGTTTTGCAGAAATCAAGAAATTTATGTGATATTTATTTATATTTTATATTGAACGAAAAAAATAAAAATTATACGTTTATATAATATTGTACGTTTTAATAAGTTCGTCTTTTAATATAGGCATCGGATTGATAGACACTTTGCTTTCAGTTTCTTCTTTCACAAGCAATCCACACGCGCACGGACAAAGCTGAAAATAATTCATCAACTTTACAAATTTTTAATTGTATTACATTAATACGATGAAAAAAGTATTAAAATATTTGCTTATATTACATAGTACGTTCAAAGAATTGCTATTATGTAAATTGTCTTTATTACACATATATCACATTCTAGTTTTCGAATAATATTTTAAACAGGATATATCTTTTCTCAAAGAGCAAAGAGTTATTCTCGTGCAATTTTCTTAATATAAGCAATAAATTTGATTTACCATTTCCTGAGTAAGCGTCGCTGCTTCTTGGGTGGAGCAAATTGTAGATGATATATTGACGATGCATTGATGTGATGATTCACTGGTCTTATATTCATGTTTGCTAGCTATTTTACATGAACAACAGTCATTGCTTATATAAATAGCATCTATTATCTCTTGACAGTCGATTGTAAAATATACAAGCAACAGGAATTCCTTTCAGAAATAAAATCTATTTTTTTTACTCACTAACGTATCTCGGCACTTGACTTGTACTATCACACCTTTGTCGAGACTCATCTTGATGTGTTTGACGCGCGATCCTATCGGAAGATTTTCGTCGTATAAACAACAGCTTTGATTGTAATCCGCTCTCACTCGTATCAGTCGACCGGGCTTTTGAAAAGACTTTTTCTCGTCCTTTCGTGCGATCATTACGACCATTTTCTTTTGAAAGAATATAATCAAGTACACTTCCAGGAATAGAGAAATCATCGCTATATTTATCCTTTTCGGTAGGTAAAGGAATTTTATAGGTCTTTTTCAACATATTCTCAAGCTGTTTCGGTGAGATACCGTGACTGTAACCATTACTTCTTCCTTTATCGATTACAAATTGCCTTGATTTCTCTGAAGAATCCTGCAGATGAAGTGCGACGCCACAGAGTGCACAAACTGAGGAGGATGTGGTCACGATTAATCCAGATTCAGGATTATGCGGCTAACAAAATTAGTGCTATTTTATTTTCAATTTCTAATTATTTTTTATCACAAATGTGATAATGATAAATTCAAAAATAAAAATGTTATTACTTGAGTGCTCCTCTCGTATCGTCCTGAATCAGGATAGCGTATCCGAGGGGGAGGATCTACGCCTCTCCTCCGTCGCTCCTCTATCGTAATTAATTGTATCAATTTTAACGCAGCTTCTTTAATCGCTTGCAATAAATCGTGGAGTATCGTGATCTGTTAGCAATTTGTTATTTACCTCTCAATGTAGACTCAAGTAAATTAATTATGGACATTCACGCACACATACGTACGTTAAATAAATTGCAATTTTTAATGATAAGATCAGCACTTATTTTGCAATGTTTATTAATACTTCTATATCATTTCTTTAAATAAAATTCTAAATGTTTGCACACGTCTGTTATTTACAATGACTCAAATTTTCTTAACTTATTATTTACGATATCAAATAGATAAAATAAATTATAAAATTTTACTGCGACAGAAAAGGTGTGCGTTTACCAGATTCGATTTCTAAATTCGACCTACTTGTTGTTGGTGATCGTAATCGCTATCAAACATAGGCGAACGATAAGGCCCTTCCAACTCCCTGCAGAAGCGATATGCAGGACACAGGGGCATTTTAGATTGTGAATGTGTTGACGAAGGGGTGTCATGACTCATCAGCACAACACCTTGCTTCGATGGAATCGCGATGGTAAGAGGACGAACGACATTTTTCGCGACATTTTTCGCGTCGCCTGCTATTTCCATCGCGTTTAATTTAAACAAAATAAATTCAGTCTAATTTGAAGTAATAATGGCGTAATGACAACACTGATGATTCCGATGACTTCCAATAATGTTGAGTCATTTTCATTTTATATCGCCATGTCACTTGTCATTTCATATCATTTTATAACTTTTTTGGTTATTTCGGTGCTAACGTGACTCGAAACTTAACGATTAAAGGTTGATGTTAATGGAAGATACTTCATGATGTAGCCTAAAGCGTTTACTCACGTTTATTTAGTAACCTAATTTCAGCTTGTCAAAATTTTTTGTGAACCATGGCTGATTTCTCCAGAACTTCAGCCGCTGTGGCAAATACTAATATAAATAGAACTGCAAGTGAAATTAATACTAGTAAACGGAATTATTGGAGGCAAATGCTGAAAAGCTACGAGAAGAGGAACGCTTCATTGGAGAGAAAGCGTAACGTACTCGTCGAAAGAGTCTGTTTTATGGAATGTACATTGCCATCCTTGATGATGGGCATCGCTTCATCTACCGCCTACGGTAAAGGAGTCCCCGAACAGGCGAAAATCCCCGAAAACACATCCAAGTCCTCTAATCAAAGGATATAGCTGCAAATCATAACAAGTAACAGAACCCAATAAAAACAGATTTTGTAAAATATTCTGCTCTAATCTATATCTTTTGTCGAGATAGATATATGATAAAATATAATTAATTGACTATATAAACAGAGTAGGATCTTCTATTTTCTAACAATTCGAAATTAAATTATTAGTATTATTCAACTAAAATAATATTTTATTTGAATAATAAAAATAAGATTTGGTTTAACTTATTCATTCTAGGAATTAGCAATTTAATAATAAGAAAGAAAGACGGAGAACAGATGGGCAGTTTTATTCATTTCTTGTAAATACACACGTGACGAATAAAATCAATTCTATATATGAAATGAATCTGTAAGCAAACAGCACCATAGTGGTCAAACAGGCTTGATCGAATAATTTTTGCTCCGAAAATCTATACAGCATAAATATGGTAAGTGTTTGGATATACACACTTCTTGCGAAAAATACTAAATCTATCAAATCACTCAAGATCGATATACATGATGCTAAGGCACGTTCGTTGTGTTATACGATCGAACAAAAAGTAGGACTAGAAACACATTGTTTACACATTAATACACATATCAATTACATTAAATGTTGAAGCATACGTACGCACATACATATATATATATTTTTCCAATATAAAGACACACGCAAGCCTAGCTTAGTTTCGATAAGATTCATGAAATGATATTCTACAGTGAAGGTAGCAATTATCTCAATTTAATTCAGTATATAATTCTATTATATACTTTATCGCGTAAAATTGGCGTGCAAAAGTTTAAAATGAAAAGCTAAAAGAAAAAGATCGGAGTGAAGTGAATCGTTGAGGAATTTATATATTCCTTATGATACATATATATTACTTTCCTACAATTACTCTTTCTAACGACTCCTCACACAGTGTATATAATGATGGAAATTATAATAGAATCTCCAATAGTCGTCGATATAGACATTATAGAATCTCAACAGCATTACACAGACATGCCTTTGTGGATAGTTGAATGCATGGTATCACGAATCGCGCAATAATTTGCGACACACATGCGATGTGTGACATCAAATTAGCTTACGCACGCACAATTGCCTTTTTGTCATATCAAATTTAAATTTATGTCGAAACATGGATTTAAATTTCGATAGAGACATACTAAAGATTCAAAGATACCTTTGATATGTCGCTTGGTACAAAAACGCATCTGTTTAATGCAGTCATCTTCAATCTGATTTTTTCTGGGCGTCATTCTTTATCTCTTAAAAATGCATCAATCGCGAATATTTCAAATCATACGTGAAATTATTTTGTAATAATTATTGCACGTTGTAATAATTATTACAAAGCATCGTTATAATTATTTTATAATAACGCTTTATACAATTTACGCTCGCGTGTGAGGGAGATATATATAATCTACGGCTTATTTGGCACTTGATTTCACAGCTTGTACGAAAAGATTGGTCGTGACGTGGGGAAGGTGAAGTACGCCAAACCGAGGGTTCAGGTTGGCACTTGATCCGCAGGCGCCCTCGTTTTATTTCTAGGACGTACCATTTCTGATCGTCACTTGGGCACACCAAGCAGCGCCAGCCGTATTGTCCTGTAACAAAAAATTGTAAAAATATTTATATAAAAGAACTGTTATTTATGATTTAAAATCAATGAGGACTGGCCGAAGTCGGATCAGTTATAGGTAAACTGACTCAAAGTTAACCGATCGCTAATGTGTCTCTATGCTATGTTTATTTTGTACGTCCTTCTTTTACTTGTGAATTAGTAGTATCAGCTATGCAGACATAAATCAATGTCCAATTTGTAGAATAAATTGAATCTAAGTTTTGAAGTGCTTAGGAAGCTGATTATGATATTCGCTACTTATTAAAATTAATATGAGCGTTTAGAAAAATTATCTCTTACCTCGTTTATGCCGCGGGTTTTACCCACGGGTTCATTGACTCTTCCGTGGAACTCGTGGGTTGATGGACAGAGTCTGCGACGACGAGAGACGATGGAGAACCTCTTCTCGCATTTATCTCCAGCGAAAATAGATCACCTGCGTAAAGTACAACGGTGAAGCATGAGCTTACATCATGTTCCCCGTACAGCACAGAAGTTTTCAATTATATTACAGCAACATTGTAATCTTATGAATTACGGTAAAATATATAGCAACATTGTAATCTTATGAATTACGGTAAAATATTACAGACATTATAGAGAGATATGCAATTTCAACAATTTGTAACAATATTAATGATAAAAATATTGTAAAAAATATTACTGCATAATATATGTGTTGCAATCTTGCAGTAATTTCAAGAATATTTCTGTAATCTTTTTGTGCTGTACAAGTTCTAATTCTTTGGTGTTCAAAACAATAATTGCCTAAATGTCCAATATATAAAACGACTGTAAACTTAAAAGATTTTTTATGTGACAGTCGAATCTGCTATATAGTACTGTTTTAAATGTAGCGAAAAAGTATAATAATAATCGCTAAATATTAAATTTTGATGTGTATTTTTGTCTTAAAATAAAGAAATTTTTACTTTAAATAAAATTAATGCTCGCTATTTTTACGAATATATTTTGCCATGGCGATTAAGAACTAATAAGACTAATAGCACAGAAAATGCATAAGCATAGCATAGCTAGCATAAAACGTCTAGATCAATGAGAATGTTATGTAAACATATCAATATGGAAACTTTATGCTGGATGTTTATTGGTCCAGATGGTCTTATGCTATGCTACGTTATGCTTATACATTTTGTTTACTATAATTCTAATTTCTATGAGACAGATGAAGAAAATAGGAGAAGTGAAGCATAATCGTTACCATCACCAACTGGTATCAAGCACGTAATGCATAATGTTGTGATTACGCCACGTAGGCGGAAATTTGCTATAAAGCTCTACTACAGTCCAATAGCTAATCGGAATTTTTTGAACATAGTTCGATGAATATTCTCTAATCAAAATGCATAAAAAGTCATAGAGTGCACTACACTGTAATTGATAATTTTGAGAATGTAAACATGATAATTACGCGACAATTTTGAGAATATTAATGTCACAGGCACAATTAAAAAAAACAAATAGAATTGCAGCGCCACAATATTTCAGCAAGCAAAAGTTAGCAGGGTATCTCAGATAACAAACTTTATCGAGAACAGATTCTGCAAAATGTCTGGAGAAAGATTAGCAAAGTATCAGATACTTTGATGAATCTGTTGGTTTTATTGTAATCTGAGACACTTGGCTATATTTGGCTATCATATTTGATAATTGTATCCTTTTTCATGTTTTCCAAATAGAACTGAGCTTGTCGGTCGTCTGTCTCAAATACGTACGTTCAAAGACGTAAGGTAGATATGTTGTCGGTTAGCTTTCCTTCTCCTTCTCTTCCTCACCTCCTCATCCGCATTTTCTCTCCACGACCTCGGTCTTCTTCCGTTCGTCGCTATTTTCTGGAAACTGTCGCTCCGGAGAACACGCGCTTTCTTCCGCGCAATACTCTATTGCGAGGAAGATTCCCAGCTTCTCAAAAACTACACATCAACTTAGGTAGACATCAGCTTTTAATTATAACGCGAGCACAACTTTCTTCGGTGTGAAAACGGGGAATTACAGCGAAAGTTTACTAGACGATGTTATTGAATTTTTAATACCCCGCCCGTCTTACTAGAGTTCGTTGTTAAGGATTTGATATAGCGATGGCATAAGCTAAACACAAATTTCCTGATACAAGACTAACGGATGATTTCTTCGTCCAAAAGAGACGTCGTGGACAAATCTAACGTTTGCCATTCTTGCTGTTTTCGCGGACCGTATTTCGCACTCGTTACTCCTAACTCGTCTTCGGCTAACCTTCTTTTGTAAGTCGTTTTTGGCAAGATCAGTTACGGCCGGTTCTTCGGATTTACAGAGTTTTAGTTCGTCTTTCTTCTCCTTCTCCTCTAGGGATACAAGCTGTAAAATATGCAATGATCGTGTATTGTTTACTTCGAATTAAAGAAGAAATATATCTCCGTTACATAAAATTAAGCTATTCAAATTGGTAAATGAATTTAAAAAAGAGTTAGATCGATACAACATATATTACCGTGACACTACGTTCAGCACCCAGAGTGATCTGCTTGACGGATTTATCTTTATCTTGACATCGAGGACATTCTGTAGCCATGTAATTTCCGTATGTTTCTATGGTTTGAACAGCACGCGTGCAATTTGCATCTTTAAGTTGATCTTGTACATTGTCAAAGTTCTGTACATCTTCTGGATATATATTTTGGCCCATGTTCTTTATTTGATGCATGACAGTTGTCTCTCCACTGTTAGTCTCGCTGACGATACACTTTGCGCTGATGGTCCGCAGTTCGTTTTCCAACCAGTATGTTCTCTCTGTAAGTCTGTAGTTTTCATCCAATAGCTCCTCCTCTCGTTGTTTAGACAGCCGCTTTTCTTGTTCCTGATCCTTTTCGGCTTCCTCATACATTTCAAGTCTCTCCTCGAGATCACGAACGCGCTCCTGATAGGAAGTCAGCTGGACTATCGAATCCATTGTTGACACATCGAAGCAGATCTTAGATGAATCAATCGGATGGAAGACCGGTGCTGTGATCTTAGCTGCTCGTTCCTGAATTCGAGCCCTTAATTCTTGAAGACGCTGCACTTCCTGCAAGAGTTCGCCGGACGGTGCTTCTGTTTGAGTACCACAGCTAGCAAACTCGATGTCGTGCTCTTCTTCATACTCCTTTTCGTCTTCTTCTTCTTCCTCCTCCTCGAAGATACCACTTTCCTGAAGGGTAAGTGGGGGCTTTCGCGGTAACACGGGTGACGTGGATTTTATAGAGTTCATTGTAGCATTCGTGTAGGGTATCACGGTTGCCACGGCACGGCTTCTCTGTTTATTGATTGAATGATCCTAAAATATCATTGCATCGCAAGATATAAATGGAAGATATACGAACGATTGTTAGCGTATTGATAATAATTTTATGTAATAAGTAAAAAAATTCCTTTCTAATTTTATAATAAAGTAAATTCCTAAGTGATTAGTTATTTTATTATTTGTATTGATGCGCAATACGAAACAAAAGCTCACCTTGTTCGTATGAACAGGTTCTGGTGAAACGATGCCGCTGTCCACCGTATCGGGAGTATCTTTGCGTATAGGTATTTCTTCCATTTCGAGCAATCGAAATTCCAGCAGCTCATTTTGTTCTCGTATCTCCGAAAGCTCCACCAAAAGTGCGGCTTCTCGTTCCTCAGCAGCTCGAAGCTTATCATTCAACTCACTTAATTCTTTGTCACGATCAGCACATCTCTGTGAAATGCAAAAGCCTTTATCAAAACTTTCAGGTATGCAATATTATAAACTAAAGATTCTTCATGTACTCCTAGGTTATAATCCATTCGTCATCATAGGTATCAATTATAATGTAAAAGAAAAGAAATTACCAAGAATTATACGCCTATTGTATTATAATTAATTGCCAAGGATTATACATCAATTATATTACAATTACAAATTTTACCTCTTGCAAGAGTGCTTTCTCCAAGTCGCAAATTTGAATTCTGGCATGCGATAGCTCGCGTTGCTCTTTAAGAAGCCTTGATTGTAGATCTTCGATCTCGATGAGAACGGCTTCATATGCTTCTCTAGTGACACCATTGCCTTGCCACTGACCATAGCCCCCAGGTTGTGGCGACATCGAGGACGGGGCACTCGATAGAGCACTGTCATCATCTTCATGATCCTCCTCGTCATCCACTTCAGCCACCGGTTCTAACTCTAGCCACTGTTTATAAAATTCCTCCTTCCTTTTTTTGTTGGATAACTGCTCCAACTTTCTCTCTCTCTCCTTAAGTAACACATAAAGATATCCGATTTTATTTTTCAAATTTAGTTTTTACTAGAATGATTGGTTTTATTAGTACGCAAATTTAATTTACTTAATATAATTATACTTTTATTTGATGTCTATACTCTTATTTGATGTTTTTTTTTAATTTGCAGATTTAAGATTGAGAGAAATATCTTTCTTTTAAATTAATGATGTATATTAGTTTTAGTATTTTACGAGCCTTCAAAATTTATGAGAAAAATAAAAAAATTATATTTTTCAAATTTTTAATTCATATTTACTTCCTAAGAAAAATTCCATTACCTTAACTGCCTGTCTAAGTATTTCGATGACTTCCTGTTGTTCAAGCGCGAGTTCACGAAGACGCTCGACCTCGATTTCATTTATGGCTCTGTTGGATTCTATTGCGCGCATATATGACCTCACCTTAAACGATACCCCACCTTAATTCTTATTATGTCATTGTACACTTTTATCGCGAGATATGAGAGATATTCTGAGAAATATGATAATAAATAATCACTTACGTATATCTGTAGAACTGAATATAGTTGAAATATTAATAGATTTATACAGAAAAATAATTGAAGTAATTTTGCACATCAGACCATGGTGAAAATTTTTCTTATAATTTTTATATGAATTGGAACATTTTTCAGAAATACTCAGAAATATTCGGAAAGTTTACATCTTGTCTCAGAATTTTTCATACAAGTGAATTCTGAAATATTC